TAACCGATCGCGCGAACATGACCGCCCTAAAGTATTTGCCCTAAACTAACGACACGGTTGGTAGTTCGGAGTTTTCAACTTGTAACAAGTTGAAAACACGGCTATCTACGAGCGCTACGAACGTTTAGGTACGAGGGTGTTACGTCCAAGCGCTTCTAATTTTAGAAGATGCAGTGGGGTAAGTTTACCTTACCGCTTCGCAACTTTCGTAAAAAGCTACGACATCACATCTGCCCGGCATTCTTAACCAGAGGGTAACCGAGTTGCCTAACACAGACACTAATTTAACTGAATTCTGAGTTCTTAAGACTAAATCAAAGAAGAAATTAGTGTCAGTTTGCGGTGTAATAACGTGAACTTATTTGACAATCTACGTCTACTATTGATACACGTGTCGATACTACAATTAGGCAGGTTTTGTCTACAAGAGTAAGGTGTTTCTCGACTACACTTACTGACGTTGTCCGTGTCAAAACAGAAGACCTCTACTCAATTACGTTTCGTCCGGTCCGAAGGTCAGAGACATCCTTTTTGTTTCATTTATGAAAAAACAGTACACTAAGCGGTGCGGTCGTCTAGCGAAATTTTTGGTGCCTCTTCTCCACACCTTGCGTGTGCCGAACTAAAGTTGATGTCCTACTTTTTTTCCGTTTCTTTTGGCAGTATCAGGAGGTTTTTTAATCCTTAATTTCTTCGGTAAAGTGCTTCGACTATTAGTCTTGGTCTCGCTACTAAAAAAATAACGACGTGTAAATTGTTGTCACTTGAGACCGGTCGTACCGAGATTTCGCGACACGTCTATGACATAGTTGGCGGCAGCAACTCTGTTTATTTTGTGCCAAACGGTGCAAAACCTGGGGTCCGACCCATCCCCATTTTATTTTCAGTATTTGTCGTTCTCCTCTTTTCCCTCCTTTGGTGCTGACAGAGGGGAAGAGGGTGAGACAGAAGCGGGAGGTCGGCGCCTCGCGACGTAGACAACCTTTTTCTTGTGTACGGCAGAGATAGCACCTCCGTGCAGAAGCGGGGTTGAAATCGTTTTCGTACAAGTAAGTACATCCCTAGTAGGTTGGGTACGGTAGAGAGCTGTACCGGCCGGACTGCAGTGGGGTGTTCGCACTGGCGGCCGGTTTAGGTCGTGAGTAAAAAAAAAATCGGGCTGTCGGTTTGTGTGGTCGAACTACACACCCCTAATCAGACGTCGGCTCTACTTCTAGACTCGTTGACTTTTACTTAAAAACGGGCGCGCTAACCAGTACAAACCAAAACGACTCCACTATCTCTACTTTATACTCACAGTATTGCTGACCCAGGAAGTATGTTTTGTAGTGTGTCTCCTACTAATCAAAGTGTAAATGTCAGAAATTCACAACATAACTGTGACATCGGGCGACTCTCTTCATAGGATATAGTCGTGGGATGTTCTTATTCGAATTTTGTGAGAATATACTCTTGACGTAGAACGTGAATTTTACAGGGAAGACATTTTCCTTATACCAATCTTCATTGTAACCGAAGACATGGAAAATTATATCATTGCCTTGAGTATGCTGATACCGCAGGTCTTGACTATTTTCCATATGTCATAAAATGGAGGATAAATTAATCATTGCCGTGGCAAGTGTCCCAGTCCTGTATTACTGTACTCTGTTCACCTACCGGGACCCAAACCGGAGTTTACTTCGTTGAAGAAGCGGGCTTTTTTTTGCTTTGTATGCCGGGGGCGGGCGGAAGATTCCTTACTGGTTGTTGGTCGCCTTGGGCGCGAGAAATCGCCAGGCCTCAGACACGCCCAGCTTCAAGATTTTTTGATGCCTGTAGTGTAGACGGGCCGTAATCGTGGTGTTAACGGGTTGACAAACCTCAGAATGTACACATACTTCAATAATAGCTGAGATAAAAAAAATTACCTTTTTAATTTTGTCCAAACATCAGGCATTCAGCGTCAAAGCATGAAAACTATGAATAATTAAGTTCTCAGAGTTTGTAAAGAAAAGAAAGACATTTATGTAATCATATACTGATATTTTGAAATAAAACCATACAGAAATGCTGAAAAAAGAATGCAAAATCTCTATAAATGTATTTGAGCATGGAAATTCCCTCTTGACCTTGTATAGTCTCAACCCCAGGTCCGACAAGTTATTCTGGAGCTTGCAACTCTGCTATTTAAAGCCTTGGAAAGCTCAGAAAAAATAGACCTTCAGTTGATATTATTATGTCAAAAGAAATTATGAATGACATGAAAAAAAGCCTAGATATACCCAAAAATGAGGGAAAGAAAATGAAGGTATTGGGAGTTTGTGATGTATAATAAAAACCTTGTTATAAAATGATGTCTTTTAAATGATGGAAATCCTCAAAAAGGAATGAGGTTCAAGGTTTTTCCAGTGTTGAAGCTTTAAAACCATCCAAATTGGAGATTTTGGGGGATTTCCGTGCCTCCAGCTGACGTTCAACCCACTGTAGAACATCTGAAAAGTTGTTTTTACTCCTGCTATTAATATAAATCAAATCAACTCGCTGGAACTAATGCAAGGTATGCATACTTTGGCTGCCTTGTTAACAGAGGAGTTACATACTTGAATGTATGAGTAATACAGATAAGATGTTACACAGTGCAGAGACACATTGTTTTACAGACTAAACAAACACTCTGACGGTTCACTTGGAAGATTTCGGCTCAGCTTTGTTTCCCTGCTGCCATCTGCATTTCAATATGTCGCCTTTGCTCTGCCTCCTACAGGTAACACATGTCAAAATGGCCTCATGCCCACCCTGGTGCGTCCCACCCTGCCTGGCATCCAGACCTCACTGGGCATGAAGCAGTTTTTCCCGTTTCCATTGGATACGGCCGCAGCCATCAGCCTCTTCCAAGGATTCAACGCGGTGAGTCTCATCTTTATCCTATATTTTTCACATGATCTGCTGCTGCTTTATGTTCAGGATTCCACATCTATTTGTTATATGTCTCTGAAATATTCATATTTGGAGACATCTTTATTTAAAACCGTTATCACTGATTCAACGCTGCACACAAAGAGCAGCTTCAAGGCATCGAGGTCTGACCTTCCTCAACCTCATGTTGTCAAGTTCATGCATCTCTCTTTTTTTTAATAAAATATATATATAAAATGCACTCTCTGTTAGCCTGGGTACATCTAATTCAATATGCTTTTAATGCAAGACTATAAAGAAAAGCATAACAGGAATATTTGTAATGGTTCTGAGCTTCTGACTATCCACTTTAGAGGAGTACATTTCCATCTGAGAGTACGTTTTGTTATGCAAATATGTAAGCAATATGTAGAAGTCTCTACTGTGTTTTTCTATTATGGCAAACACATCGTTTTTCCCGAGACGCTTTTGTGGACAATGTGCAATTATTCTGATAGCGCACTTACTCTCCTGCCAGTTTGCATATTCAACTTTATCCTGGAGATGTATTGACAGCTCTGTCTTTAGACTCCAAGACCAAAACTCATTAATAGTTATTTATATCTTAAGCAATATGTCTGCTGAATGCAACTCTTCTTATTCATCTCCACATCTGTTTTTAATTTAAACCCAATACAGAAATATATTTTAATAGAAATTGCTGAAAGCCAGTTGGCAATTTACTCTAGTCTAAACCATTTATTTTAAATGTGCAGTAGGTGACGGAGTAATGACTAAGTAAGCCTTATCTCTGTGAGACATTCTGAGAGCGATGAACGTTTCTAAAACATACTCCATGTTGCACTAATCTCCGTTTGGAAATTAAGGACAATGAGCAATTACTTGAAACAATGACTGAATAATTGTAATTTTTAAAGCAAGGAAGCCACATTTTTCATAGCTTCTGGAGTATTAAACACATTTTCAATCAGATTTGAACAAGCCATTTTAATTGTGTATTCAGGTAAATCAAGATGTTTGTATTTTCCAACATTTTACAGACGATGAAATTGATGAATGGAAAAAAATAGTCTGCAGATTAGACGATTATGAAAATAATAAACACGGTGTAGCCCTGAAAACAGTAGCGACCCCTTCCTGTCATGATTCATTGTTGATGTTGCAATATTAATGTTATATATTAATTTCTATGTTGTTAAGTTGATGTGGAAAAGGATGCATCATGTTTATAGATTTAAAAGACTCCCCGTATAGCTCATCGTTTTTTAAACAGGCACGGAGACAAACTCTATACTAGACCCTTTCTCCAGAATCGAGAACTGATGTTAACAGCTTTCTGAAATGCAATGCTAGCATGTGGCTGCACAGACCTTATTGGATTTGCGATTGTTGAGGCACTACCTTTTTAAATGGAGCACTCATCCACTATGCACTTACTGTACCAGGACTCGTACGTACACTCATATGGATCTATTGATTTTTCTTTTAAAAGCAGAAAGTAATTATGAAGAAATATGTGGCCATGTGCAGCTCATATCTTCAAGGCCATCAAAACAACATGATGACTCCTGGTAAAAAGAAAAACCCTGACAGATAAAAGCCTAAAAGCTTTTTTTGTTCAGGGTCTTCTTTTGAATTACATGGATAGCTCAATTTAAAATCTGTTGGAAAGAACGGGTTGAAATATGGAGCACAGCTGGATAAGAGTGAGGGGAAAAACACACATGAAGGAACAAAAAGAAAAGTGGGGACATCAAGGCGAGAACCTAACCCTTGATGATAGATGTTTCGTGAGAAATGTCAGGAATACTGGTCCCTTCTCTCTCCCAGTCTAATCTGTATTTAATAGACTTGTCTTCGGATAATGAGTAATACACTGGGAAGCCTCCAAGTGGTGGAAAGCTGATACTAGATTAACACGAAGTAATCACCTCTCAGTCTCTGTCTCTCACACACACACACACACACACACACACACACACACACACACACACACACACACACACACACACACACACACACACACACACACACAGATGTATGTAGTTTGGCAGTGTTCGGCAGAGACGCCTGCAGGCTGAGGTCATTACTCTGGGAAAACAGGTGGTAGACTGATGTGGGGGAGACGTAGACTTCGTACACACACTCAATTACATACACACATATATTCCGACATTTTACATTTTGTTCAAGGGCAATATTTTCTTTACGCTCAACTCATTACAGTCAGTCATTGTATTTACCAGTTGTGTGAATCTGACAAAAAAAGTGGGAGTTTTTAGCTGTCTTTTTTTCAGGCTAGTGGAAAGAAAACATCCAAAGGTTAAATAAGATTATGCATCATTTGCATATTTCCACATTTCAATCATTCCATTTCAGAAAACTGGAAACCAATAATGGTTTTACTGTAAGTTATCAACTAGGGAGGTTTGATTGTGATGATTTTAGCTAAATATTTTAATCTTTACACTTTAAGTAAGGAAAATTGATTGAATATATTTTTAGGGTATTTTACTAGAAATCTGCACTTCAGTAGCACTTACATACATCGTACTTACTCCCTTTGTTTCTATATCTGTATATCTATTTATTCTGAAGCTCTTTACTGAGAGATTTGTTAATATTTCATTTGAAGTATTTTCTTTTTGTATGGCCATTGACACTGTCTTCTACACAAACGTATACTCTAATTTGTCAACAAGGTGAAACACGAATATTAAAGCAAACAATGCCTCATCTTCCCATTTAAACGTAACTTTTCAGAACACTTGCAAAGCTAAAAACATCCTTAGTATATTTACAGAACAGGTCATTATCATGGTGACGTTCTTTTGTTTAGCTTTGACCTGTAGTGCCTCCCTTAAAGTTCAAACCACAATTAAAATGCACAAAAATAATCGTTAACATCAACAATAACCAACATTTGTTCTGGTGTTATTTTAGTATGATGTTATGATACAGTTGAGAGTAGGGTTGGGAGGGCGACTCTGGAACGAGGGGAAAGGTTAAAGCAGAGAAAGGTCTCTCTCTCCATTAAGCAGAGCTACAGTAGGTGGATTGGATCATAATCTGCATTACTTTTCTGTAAAACACACTAATGCCTTTTAATACTCTGCATTTCCTCTCTGTTCTCAGCCACTAAATGTACTTCTATAAGCTGCTGGAAATGTCCCATTAACCTCCAGAACAACAAAGTGGGGCACAGAGTTTCACAGAAGAACCCGGAATGGGATATTTTTTTGATTAATAACTTTAATAAACGATATAATGTGTTATACAACATGTTTTTGAGTCTCAGGTTAAGCAACGACAATGTAAACAAATGTCTCAAAATTAAAAAACAACAAATTATTACAGCAAATAACACAACAAAAAATATCAATATTGATTCCTAGATGTGTATATGCTGGATGGGCACTTAGTGACAAATTTATAGTTATTCTTTTCAAGTGCATCTTTCTTTCTCTTCCATATATTTCCCTCTCTTTTACTTTTCTTTTTTAATTCACATTTTACCCGACAGAGGAGTCTGCCGTCCTTCACTCCATTCATTTCATGGAAAATTAAGAGAAAAGCCCATACATATCACGCCATTGGAAAATATTTCAGTCATTTTTCCTCCCATGGAAGTTTTCAACACTGAGCTGTGTGTGTGTGTGTGTGTGTGTGTGTGTGTTGACATTGCTACAGCAGGTGCTTTCTGTCAAGTGTTCATTTTGCACAGAGGACAGACTGTTCAGTTTACAGTAAAGAATGGTCCATCGTGTGTGAGAGTGACTATGTTATGTGTAGTACTATGTAGACTCCAATCTACTTTGTTTACAGTTTAAATAACTAATGGACAGTATAACCAACTCTGTCTCAAACTAAATTTGTCACAGACGTATATTTAAAAACGTTAAACTTTCTTATGGTAAAGAATCCTGAACATTGGTCTATGATTGCATTTGGTTTTAAACAACTAACCCAGCCTAAAATATGTTTCCTTTCGAACTTAATGCAGTTTAGTTCTTTGGGAATGTGATGTTTTTATAAGACCCAGCAACGGTACACCTTCAGAAAAAAATCTAATAAACTAAAACTAAGAGAAAATATATACTATATATTTAAAATAAATTAGGAAACTTTATGTTAAAGTTACTGGAACGTATAAACACTGTTTGTTGGTGCATGTGTGACATTCAGTAGCTCACAGGAAAATCATGACTGCGTTGTGGTGTTTTGCAGCCAACTGTCAGATTTAACAGAGTCCTTGAATGCACTATCAATAAGAATTGTGTTGATGTTGTTGTGATAATTCAGTTGAGGGAAGTCACGGTTAAGAAATGGAACCATTACTGTTGTATCATTGATGGGCACTCCGACCTGTGTTTTTTATTTTTAGGGGAAAACATTTATTGGATGCTGATTAGCTAGGTTTTTATGAATCAAACCATATTCATCACAATATGATTATTTCTGGGTTTGATTTAAACAAGTTTAATGACTGTTTCGGAACAGTTTACAATCAAAATCACAGATACATGAGAGTCCTTGAATGCAACAAAAATCTAAACAAATGTTGACAAGATAATCTCAACTCAGGGTCCTCTTACTTTTCTTTTTCCGTTACTTTCAACACAAACTAACCCTAACCCAAATATTGATAAGACAATCAAAGCATTTTGCTGCTGTGTAAACTGTCATCCAATCAGATGTCTTGAGCCTGATTGATGGTGGAAAAATGGGCGTGGCTGAGATTAATGTTGACTATGTGAGCTACACCGGCAGCAGATCAGTTTACGTGTAATTTATTTATGTTTTCCCCTCCGTCTGTCTCCTTCTCCTTCCCTCATTGAACTAAATTAAGGAAGAGAGAAGGAAGGCTCGTTAAAATATAAAAGCCTTCCATTAAAAATGTACGCCACCCTCTCTGTCTCCCTCGCTGCTGCCATTTTACATTTGGGAATCCAGGCAGTGATGAAAGGCAGAGAACGGAAAGACAAGACGGG